AAAAGAAAGCTAGATGGTACAGTGGGTGTTATGTTATCCATTTCCCTTCCTTAGGTATGAAATAAGTGGTGTGCAGCAAATTCAAAGTCTTTTCAGATTAATCTGTCTTTTACGGTTTAGAATTGGACTGGTGTCTAGGAAAGAAGTTCTTATTTTGTGGAAACTCTCGTCACTGGGGCGATGACAGCCAGCTTGATCTTCAAGCTTCATGCTCCTTCCGGGACGTCTCTCCTCCTCAACAGCGAATCTCGCCCGAGTTGACTGCTGTTCTAGCACGTAGCGCTCTGGAAGCCTGTAAGACTGAGCTGCAGCCTGAACATTCTCAACCTAAACACAGCAACAACTATTTTTGCTGACTTCAAGAAGGCTTTGGTGGAGATGCAGCTCATAGTTAGGAGGCAGAATAGAAAAACACAGCGAATATTTTTGCTTTTACTTTTCAAGAATATTTTCAGTGTATATAAATTTCTAGATAGACCTGCATTGCTTTTAATAGTGACTGTATGAATTGATGACAATGTGCCTATCATCATCATCATCATCATCATCATCATCATCATCATCATCATCATCATCATCATTATCATTATATTTTATTCTGCTTGGAGCTTTCTGGTGCTCTACAATTGTACCTTCCTTTAGGTTTTCAAATACCTTACCGTTCTTAAAGGTTGCTCTATTTCAAATTAACTTTTCAAATTTGACTGTCCCCTCTAATCTTTCAAACTGTACACACCCACAATCCCCCAGAGCAGCTCTGTGAAATAAACAGGAGTGTACTGAGGATGCAGGAGAGAGGACACTGCTTGGCTCATGTCAATACACGACACAAAGCTTTATGAGCGCCCATGGGTGCCAAGCAGTGTGGCCTGAGGCTTACGGTATTAACTCACTTTTTTTTTGGGGGGGGCAGATGTTGTTAAGTACCAGGTGGGCCTCAAACTCATGGCGTATCCCAGGCTTTGAGCTCATGATCCTACCATCTTAGCCATCTCAGCTTGGGACTACAGGCATGTCATGTCAATACACCAACCCATTAAACTGTCACAACCCCACAAGGTAGTTACTTTTTTTTTTATCTCTGTGTTGTTTGAGGAAGTTGGAACCCAGAGAGGTTTATGGATAGCAAGCATCAGGGCTGGGGTCTGCAGTCCAGCAACCTGCTCCCAGGGCTGGGAGACTGGCACTGTATGGAGCTGCTTCTTCAGTGTGGTGTCAGGAAAAGTGTACTAGAGGGAAGTCTTCAGCCTACCTCCAAACTTTTCTTCTGTTTCCTATAATGTGAGCAACAAAGATTGACAAGAATTGCTGGGAAGTATTAACAACGCAGTCCAACTAGAGCTATGGTGGCAAGAAGGTCATTGTCTAGCGTTGCCACCCCTGAAGATTCACCCGAGACCACCTTTGTCCTTATTATCCCATGACATCTAGACCACAGAGGAACTACGGGCTGTTTCTGGAAACCTGTCACTGTGCCACTGTGAAGGACAAACATGAACATGTCTTCTGGAACATGAGTTTCAGGTCCCCAAGCCACTGCACACAGACAGATAGCACGTGTGTGTGTGTGTGTGTGTGTGCATGTGTTCACCCCAACCCTTCAGCTCCTTCTCTAAGACTTAGAGGAGTCCGTTCAGGCCAAACTATCCTTGCTCATGACCTCGGTGCCTACTCAGGGCTCTTACACTCGAGCTGAGTCAGTGAAGATAAATGCACCCTTTATTACGGAGTAGAAGAAGTACTTGGAGAAATTAACAGCCATTTGGTTGCTGTGCCGAAAGGGTTGGTGGACTTCAGATCAAAACTTCCTCCTAGTTCACAATGACTACACTGATGTTTTATTTCAGCATCATGATCCTGGGTCTTGAGATATTCCATATACTTGTACACTTCTAGGATCATTTTTTCTGGGACTGAAATTTATTTTTAACCAAGTAGCAGGGCCTTTGGCAGACAAGGAAAAGAATCTTAAACTTGTTTCCTGTGGCTTGGAGAAGAGTTGACAACACTAACTTAGAATTAAGGAGGAAAATGTTTTTATTACTTTCTAATAAAAATAGAGGGCAGAGCTTAATACAATACTTTCTATAAGAGAAAAATCTGAAAGATCAAATACTATTTCTAGTCATCTGGAAAGAAAGTAAGATAATTTTCTAATCATGATAATACAACCAGAACAGATATCATTACAATTTAGGGATGTTTGAACAAAAATGTGCTGATGTTCTTTAGATAGATCTCACTGGCTTAGGGGTTGATATAGAGTCCAGCTAAATCTTTAGCTGGTATGAGAATAACTTTAAATCACATATTCTTGTTGAACAGTAGCTGGTACAAGTGGAAATATATAGAAACTATCAGCCAAAACCTATCTGTTCAGTATCGACAGTAACAAAAAAGGCATCTGTGATGATTTCAAAACAGGACACACGCTTGCTAAAATTTTAAGTTGAAAAGTAAACAAATATTTCAGTGAAGTGTATTTCAAGTAACTTTTTACCATAATCCACTTAGCACAGTTAGTGCATTCAGAATTCCAGTTACTCTTCTTTAGGGTTCAGTTTCTTGGAACATTTTTACGGACAAGTTGTGAAAATGTACTTCATTAAATGAAGAATTTCTTTCTTTTTTTGTATTTTTTGGGGAAGGGTCTATAGGGAGTTCAGGGTCTCACTACTAGATCAGACTTGTAGTGATCCGCCTGTGTCTAGCCTCCTAAGAGCTGGGATTACAGGGGCCACCATGCCCAGTCTCAATTGCTGTCTCAGCACGCCCCGGAGGCAGGGCTGGTACAGCAGGCCCAGGGATTGAACCCCAGGCCCCTGTGCCTGCTTGCAGGTGCTTTAATCCAGTGAGCTTGGTCAGCCCATGAATTTCTTTAGTAAGTGAAAAACTATCAGTACACAACCCACTGTCTCTGTGTTAACAACCTTACAGGAAGAGAAGTCCTAACTACAGCCAGTCACATCCTAGCTTGTCATGACCTTTGGCTTTTCCTTTCTTTGCAAGCATCTGACAGGTAAGAATTATTCAGCTTCTACAGAGCTCTGGGCTCTCACTGAATTAATGAAGCTTAATAAGCACAAAGCAAAGCATACTAATTAATAAGCAGATAGATAATCAGAAGAAGTAAATTAAATTCAGATGGAGATGGAGTGTTAAAAGAAAAATAGATTAATCCACTCTCATACCAAATGGCCCATTTTATTAGCTTAAACATAAGTGCTCTGGATATGTCACATTGCAGGTGGGTGGCTGTGGGGAGGGGCTTCTAAATTCTATGTCACCTGCACAGACTGGAGTACACTGCATGCACAGCCGTGTCCGGTCTTCTCAGTGTGCTGCTAAGTGACTGAGTGACAGAGCTTGGGAAGTGCAGCCTAAGACAAGCGCATGAATCCACACTCTTGTACCCGCTGAAGGGCCTGCTAACTCCAAAATAACTGTCACCCTCCTGTATGCAAATGGACAGGCCTCAGAACAGAATGAATGCACA